TAATATCATTTATATGTATTTATAATTTATATATGAAATTATGACATAGAGGTACTGCTTGAAAAATAGATAAGAGAGCACAGAGGCAGTAGGGCAACTCTGTCTCAGAAAGGAAAAGAAAGAAAACTTTAACAAGTGAAAAGTGAACCATAATGGAATCTTATTAGGTAGAATGAATGAAAAATAGAAAGGGAATGCCTTTTGAATTTGATTTTACTTTTATGAGGCTTAATTCATACACATATACACACAAACATACTCACACACACAATTACTCACATACATTAATAATACACATTCTCACACATATACTCATACACACACTTTCATATAAAAACTCAAAGCACAATACACAGATGACCCGACCCGAGGGTCCAGTTATTCATGGGGGTCGAGGGGGACCTCACCTGAAAGGAACATGGGCGAGAGGGAGAACAAGACCAAGCAAATTTGTCTTGTCAAGGTCTACTTTAATGCAGAAGCGGCTTACAAGATATACTCTAGGCAAAGGAGGAAGGGGAACAAAGAACAGGATGAGGACTCTATCAACTATAGATAGATAAGGTCAGTCATCCGTGGAGCATTCTGCAGTTTTTCCTGGAATGTCTCCGGGGCAACAGTTCTCTAAGAACAGGAAATTCTTAGCTGAAGGTCAGATTCTCCCAAAAGAGACAGTTTCTCATTAAGCAGCTTTTGTTAGCTGGGATGGTGGTCCAGGGTCACCAACACACAGACATACTCACATACACACACTCAAACACAACATACACTCTCACTCACATACTCATTCACACACATACATACACATATAAATTCCCATACACACTCTTTCAAACTCATACACAAACTCACATAGGGACTCAGAACAGTACACACTCACACACTCACATACACACACTTCACACGAATTTACATGCACAGAGACACACTCCCAACACACACACAACTGTATATAAAATGAAAATATTAACAACTCAGTCTAAAATCTATAGAAAATGTCATTATTCTAAAGGGCTCCATTTGCATATGGCCACCGTCAACTGAAGTTGAGTAGTATATTCTCAGTTAAATAAAATATATATTGTACAGCAAGACACAAACTTAAACTCCCTTACAACTGTTTTTGAGCCTTGTTTCAAGCTTCAGTATGACTTATCTGATCCGGGATAGCTTTGCAATCATAATGTGCACTTTAAAACTGGGAAGCCATTTGAAATCTCATGACATTCACTATTGGTTCAATGTCCACAGCTATTTGCAACTTACAGAAAATGTCAAGTTGACTGTTGGATAAGAGTGAAGTTTACAGAAAGGACAGTGTCCAGAGATAAAAATGTGCAAACCATTGTCACTGCCAGAGTTGCCCCCTAGAAATGATGAGATTCCATGAGATCTGTGGCCTATACATGGAGACCAAGAACAGAGTAAGGAGTAGATATGAACAATCAGGGAAAGTAATTTGGTTCTTCAGTGCAGTCCTGCCAAAGGCATTGTGACTAAAAGAACAAGGACATAAGGATCTTGAAGATCTCTTTTGCATAACATCTAAGGGCACATGTCACCCTGTGCTTCCAACTCAGACACGGTAGCTTTTAAAAAAAATAGAAAGAGAGCACAGAAGCAGAAGGAAAACTGTCTCAGTAAAATTTTTAAAAGTAGGAAGAAAAAAGTAAATAAAAGGAGAAAACTTTAACAATTAAAAAATGAAATATCAGAGCATGAGATCTTATCAGGTGGAATCAATGAAGACTACAAAAAGAAGATTTTTAAGGTTTAATACACTTTTATGACTCAATTATTGATTTGCTTATCAATCCTCTCAATAACTCATTTAAGATGTTTCTACAGCATACACAGTTGAGATATAAAAGTCCTACTCTCAAAATACTTCTGTGCAAGACATAGAATGAATATAACAATCAAAGCCAAAAGATGATAAACTAGCAGGATTAAATAGTAGCAAAAGTGTTTGATTATTTGGGAAGGTCACCAGTGAAAAGCAATTGCAGGAAGGCAAGATTTCACTGAGAATATTTGATGGCATCCCTAAGTCAAAGTCTCTGTACATATAATAATGAGACAGGGAGGAAGAGATGTAGAGAGTAAACTTCACTGGCCCAAGGAATCAAAGAAAAACTAAACTATCACTCTGAACACACTCAGAAAGACAGGATGAAAGAAACATCTATTCTTTATTAATGAATCCCTTCTTAACATATCACCTTTTAGCCTTGTTAATAATGACTATGAACAGACTGTTTTTCAGGTTTCATAAGTTTCACTCACTGGCAAAATTGTAAAAGAAAAGAAATTGTTTCATAGAAATATTTTCTAGAAGAGTTGATCTAGAGATTGTATAGCTTAATAAAATTTAAATCTAAACCATTTCATTTAAAACATTGAATTATTTTTAAAAATTGCTTTATATTGTAATAGAAATAGTTAAAGCTCACTATTTTATCAAATATTCTAATAAGTTCTATAATAAATATTCTGTGCTAATTACTTTATTTCTTTCAGTGATGAAATATCTGACAAATAGAACTTAGAAAAGCATGTATTTTGCATGGAGGGGTGTCTCTGGTCTGAGAATGTAGACTCTCTTTGTGGGGAAGGCAAGAACTTGAGGTAGCCAATCAAGTACATAGTTAAGGAGCAGAAATATACCAGTGTTAATATTTGAGTTTCTTTTAGAATTTGTTCAGCTTGAGACTCAGTGAATGATAAGATTCTATCCCAATTAATTTAGTTTTGGTTTCCTTACCTCAATAAACTGTATTTAGAAATGGTCTCTTAAGTATGCACAGAGGCTTGACTCTTAAATGATTCTAGGTCCTGACAAGGGTACAATGTTAACTACCACACATATTTTATCTGGATTGGATTTCTGAAATATAAATTTTGTTGATTGCATTTTAAATTTGACAATAAGATCTAATAACAGCCAATGGAACATGGGTTTGAAAGAAATTGTGTTTCAAACCACAATTTGGGAAGTAATGAAGTGGACACTTCATAAAGGAAATGTTTGCTTACATATATACTTTCCTCAGTAGAGGACTCCTAGAATGTAAGGATTTTTCCAGTCTATCTTT